TGACAACATGCTAATGACAACATAAAATTTGTCACAATATAACTCTAATATGACAAATTTTTATGATAAATCAAAATTTTGTCACAAATTGTAAAGTAAATGTGACAAGTCTTTGATTTTTCATAGTTGGTGCCCTAATATGACAAAACTTTCATGCCAACTTTTTTTTTGTTATTTAAGGTCAAATTTCTTATAGTGCATGTTGAATACTTGAATTTGAATATGTTAGTTGTGTATGTTGTTTTGTTTTTGGTCATGGACAAATGATGATGATGAGATTGTTATGTAAATTATGTTTATGTAGTTGCCTAACCGTCAACAATTTTAGATAGTAACAACTAATTAATTAATTACGATTAATATAGTTTTCTTTATAGTAATATATTAATGCATGCATATAATTATGAAAACATTCCAATTAAGAAATTATATAATAAATGAAACATAAAAAAAATACAAAATTAGGAGGGAAACATACAGTTGGTTCGGTTAGAAAATGGTCCACCGATTTAAATTCTGTTCTTTTCTCTTACGCGAGGCTGATTAGATAACCAATTGGGCAAGTGGTAAACAGCTAGGCGGTAAACTGACAGTAACTCGATAAAGGTTGTTGGCAGTAACATACTTGTATAACATTAATTGGTTAGTCGACTATCGGTAAATCCTGTTTTGAAAGAAAACTGGCTCGAACGAAACTACACCATGAATTAATCCCGACTAGAGCTCAAGTTTTAAAACTCTAGCCAGGTTTAGTATAGGGCAAGTATTTAATCGTCAAACACGGGCCGATCCATAAACCCCTACTTCAATCGTTTAGGTTGTTATCTAGCAAAACAGTTTTGGGTTTAAAACTAAGAAAACTACAAATAAAAACAAGCAAGTAAAGTAAATCGAGGTCGTCCCAATGAGAGAAGAGTTCACTCGGGTGTTGTTCCCCCTAGCTAACAACTACGACTTGAAGAATCGAATAACCGTGTGTGGTTAGGGGGTTACAAACCATAGGGAAGTCTAACAAGAGCTACCCTCTTAATCTCTAGGTCGAGGAAAGGGATACGATCCAAGCCACTAATGTGACCCTCTCGACCTATTGACTAACAAATGGTTGTCCAACAAGTAGTCAAAGCTACCCTCTTAGTCTCTAGGTTCAGTAAATGGGATACAATCCAAGCCACTAATTCGACCCTCTCAACCTATTAACTAAGGAATGGTTGGACTTCACCCTCAAATTGGAGTTCGGATGGCCACCCACAACCAAACCCTAAGTGCTAATACAAAATAGGAGGTTTTCCCTGCATTAACCTAACTAGGAGGAAACGAATTACCCAAGAAAACCCAGCATTGAAGCCTCTTTCAAAGAAAGGAAGGGGGTTTTCTCTCTACCTAGGTTAGAATGGCAATTAGATTGATAGGCTTTCACACAACACAATCATTCATGAATAATACCTCTACATTCACATTAAACACAACCACACACAAAATCATTTAATTCATACAAGCATTCACATAATGGTATCTAGGGTTCACAACACCCAAGTGAATCGGTAGGCTATTTCATAGCCAGGCAAAGGAAAACAAGGAAAAAGGAGAGAAAGAACCATTAACAGATGAAAATCTTTCCTCCTTGTTGCTTGAATCTCCCTTGAGAAGAAGAAACCTTCACTCCTCTAGCTTGAAATGAGTCTCAATCTCCTTCTTCCTCCTTTGAATTACACTCTCTCTCTAGATTAGGAAGAGGAACCCCTAATCTCTCACTAGAAATCCTCCTTTATTCTGAAACTAAAACCCTAGAAAAAGCTCCTCAAGTTTCGGTCCATCCAAGAACCTCCTTGAAGTTGAGTTCTCGTTGGTGAGATGAAGTCTCAAGTTAAGAGATTTGGACGAATCCATGATTGAGGGCTCGTGAACTTGAGTTGTCATGAGGCTCCACCCATGAGACCTCTTCTTTTTTTCTTCTTCTTTCTCTTTGCCCCCCACCATGTAGTCCATTATTGATTGACTTTCATCGCATCCACCAAGAGGGATCGCCGACAGTTTAGCCTTGTCTTGGCAAAGAGCCGCAATGTGTCATTCTCCAAAAGCGCGTCAAGGTCGGGTAGAAAGCATTGGTAGCATTTTTAACTCGTGGATGCTTCATCCACCCCGACCTCGTCCTCATCTTGGACACCACTAGCTCCTTCTTCTTCACTTTCCTCCTTTTGGGAACAATCAAGATCCCCTTTTTCAATGTTTTCTTCCTCTTCTTCAACCTCTTCCTTCTCCTTCACATTCATTCCATCAAGCACGGTTTGGAGGGCAAGATGCCATGCAAGATCATAAAAAGTATTCTCTTGCTCCTCCACACTCGTGACTTGGTCTTCAAAGTTGCTCTGGGAAAGGGTGTGAAAGTCATCAATGCAACCTCTTGTGCATCCTCACCATGGGAGCTCTCCGGGATGAGTTCGTCTTGCTCCACACGGTTGTCATTGATCGCTCATTCAACCTCATCTTTCTCCTCCAATAATGAGAGGCGATAGCTTGCACATGCTCGTGCCACCTTTTCTTCAAGTGTCAAATCGGGTGGAGGGAGGGGCTGGAAATCCATGCCGGAGCTCAATCTTCCAAATTTCTCATGGCTTGCCTCTTCGATCTCCATTCCTTCTTCTAATGGTAGGAGGCAATTGTGAGCAAGTTGTGCACATGCTTGCTCAACAAGCCCTCTTAGCCTCTCCGTGTGTCGAAGGAGCTCCTCCGATTACCGAAGAAAGGTTGACTCGAAATGGTTGGAAATTGGGAGGTCCCTGCTAGAGCACCCTTCATCGGTGCCCCGGGCGAATCACTCCACCATCAGCTCTAATTGCTCTTTGGCTCCAGTTGTGGAGTGGCACATGGTCTTGGGGTTTGTCCCATGAAAGCCTCCATGACCAACTCCAATTTGGATTTCACCTCGAATTGTGGAGGGAAACCTTCTTGATATGGGGAAGCTTCTTGGTATCCCCATGAGCATGGTTGCTCTTCTTGGAAGGGAGGTTGGTAGTAGAATTCGGATCCTTGACTTCCACCTTCTTGATCGTCCCATGAAGTTTCGGGGTAACCGCTCTCGGGTGTTGGTGGATACCCCCACACATGGGCGAAATCATAAGGATCCATAATCCAATACCTACAAACACAAAAACACTAAAAAGCATAATCAAACACACACAAACCACCCTTCAAGACGAAGAGTGGTAAACAAAACACACATGAAACACAAAACATAAACAAAAAGGCAAGATAGAAAATGCTAGAGTAACACTAAGCGACCTTTTCAAAATAATGGACCGCGGTTCCCCGGCAACGGCGCCAAAAACTTGACTCGCTCTGACTATCACAATAAAATCTCACCTCAGGCCCAAGTATAAACCTTAGATGGATGCAATATAGGGCAAGTATGTTTAATTATCAACCCGAGCCGACCCATGTACCGCTACTTCGTCTGTTTGAAACATTATCTAGCGAATGAGTTTTGGTGAAAACAAAGATCTAAAGCTAATTTACTTTGTAAAGGTAAAATGGATTTGACACTAATTGAGAAGGCTTCACCCGGGTGTTGCTCCCCCTAGCTAACAATTACGACTTGAAGAATCGAACGACCGTGTGTGGTTAGGGGGTCATAAACTGCAGGGAAGTCTAACAAGTAGCCAATGCTACCCTCTTAGTCTCTAGGTTGAGGAAATAGGATATGATCCAAACCACTAATGCAACTCTCTCAACCTATCGACTAAGTAATGGTTAGACTTCACCCTCGAATTGGAGTTCGGACGACCAACCACAACCAAACCCTAAGTGATAATACGAAATGGGAGGTTTGCTCTTAATTAACCTAGAATAGGAGGCATGAAATGCCCAAGGAAACCTATATCTAATAGAGCCTCTTAGGTTAAAGAGAATTCTCTCTAAACTAGTCTTGGAGGCCTTGAATGCCCAAGGAAACCCAGCTCAAATTGAGCCTCTTTGGATAAAGGATGTTTTCTCTCTAAATTAGCATAGGAGGCATGCAATGCCCAAGAACACCCATCTCTAATCGAGCCTCTTAACCTAAGGAGGTCTCCTCTCTAAGCTAGGTCAACATAGCACACACAATCACCATGAAAAATACCTCCACATTCACATTAAACACAACCACACACAAATCATTCAATTAATACAAGCATTCACATAATTGTAGTTAGGTTTTACCAACACCCAAGTGAAAGAGGACTACTCCATGCTAGGAGAAGGGAAAGGAAAACCATCAAGAAGATGAAAGCCTTGATCCTTGTGTTGAAGAGATCCTTCTTTGGGGGATGAATTCCCAAATCCTTGCTTGGAGATGAAACCCTAGCTTCTCCTCTTCTTTAGTTCGTCACTTTCTCACTCTAAAATCTGAAGAAGAAGTTTCTAACACTAGGTCTCCCCCTTGCTTATTCCTTTCAGCTGACTTTTTAAACTGAGATCGAGCCCAGTTCACGGTCTGAGTTCACGGTCGTGAACATCGAAACGCGTTCGTGAATACGGTGTGAACCAAAACGCACCGCTTCACATTTTGGGGTTCACGGTTTGTGGCTTCTGTTCACGGTCATAGCGACCGTGAACAACCTTGCGTCATTAACCTCAAAACCCTCTCTGGACGCTCCTTGGTTCACGGATTGTGGCTCCAGTTCACGGTCTTGTAAGACCGTGAACTCCAATGGCTGACAATGAATTGTGGCTGACTCCTCCTCTTTGCACGATCTTTGCTCCTTTTCTTCCAACTTTCGACTATGGGTTTGGTTTCGCCTATTAGGATCTGAAACACAAGAAACCTTGTGTAAAACCACCGTTTTTGAAGTTCAATAACAACAAACGTCAAAGCGAAATGGGGACAAAAAGTGTACAATTAGGTCCGAATACAAAACCAACCCTAAATTTCAGCATACCAATTCAGAACTAGACATAATTTCTGGTTTTTCCGATTGGACTGACCAGTTCGGCTTATAAAACCATGATGCGAAATGGTAAATTGATCATGTTGGTACGCTAAAATTGGATTATCCTCTGTTGGGATAGGATAATAGGCCGGAAAGTGGGAAAAGGAGAAGCCCAACCAAAATGGTAGAGAAAAGGGGCACATCGAGCCCAACAACAGTTCAATGCCTTCCGAATCGAAAGACGCTAGTTATAGTTCGCGGCGTTTCACCCAAAAGAGGAATAGTTCACGGCGAGGAGGAGAGATAGAGAGAAGGAAAAGCCTCGGAGACAGAGAGAGAGAGAGTGAGCTGCGCGCCGCTGCACCTTTTACCCGTCGTTTTGAAGGGTTTTCTTCGTTTTGCGCTGAAAGGGCACCCAGTGGTGGGAAACGAGTCAATTCGGCGGGGTGAAGAAGATTCAACGAAGCCAAAGCCAAATTCTGAAGGATCCTCCGTCGTCGTTTCAGCTCAGGTTCGTAGAAATTCCGTCCCTCTGCTTCTCCGCCCCGTTTTTGCCTCTTTTGTGTCGATTCATTGCTCCGCTCGCCGCAGCTATGGCCGGCGAACGTCGACCCGTAAATTCCATGGCCGCCGGTGCAGGAAGCGTTATGGACGGTGTAGGGATTGTAAGGTTGCAGGAATTTCTTGGTGGATTTTACCCCGTATCAGATTCGTCTGTCAATTCTCCTTGCATGTTGATTCCGTTTTTTTTTTGTTTCTAATTTAATTTTAGGAGGTATTGCGTTTTTGCTTTTGTGCGTGTAATGTTTTTCGGGAGCTGCCCAGATGAGATTGGCTTGAGAAAGGGGTGAAATTGTGTGTAAAGCTGCAACCTTTGGTTTTAGTTTCTAGGTTAAACGCTTGCATGCGGAAGTATGTACCTTTTGATGCTCGGTTATGGGGTTTCGAGCCCAATGCTAATTTTCTTTTACTACTCCTTTAGTTCTTAAGTTAGTAACTAGAGTAATTTCGGTTACATTTGGGTTCTATAAGGATCCTGTCAATAACTTTGCATGCTGTAGAATGGCACTTTATGTTTTGGTTCTATGCGTTAACTCTTGGAGTGCTTTTGTTTGTTATGAACAGTAAATGGACGTCAGTCCTGGACCAGTTGATGTCTCTGTGCTTTATGAACAAGACAAGCATGTTTCTGCTGCTGTATGGGAAGGCCAGGTGAGCAAGCTGTTGTGATTCGAACAAAGTTCTTGTTAGTTTGTGTTGTCTGTACGATTTTGTTGAAGTTTGATTGAATTGGTTGATATTTCTATGTGCCAATGTGAGTGTTGGGTGATGTATGTCACTTTTCCATTTTGACTCTTCATTTGATGGATAATATATAGGAGCGAGGTGCCCTTAGATGCCATGAACATACATCAAAGTTGGGGGAATGGAGCCTGACTCCAAGACAGATAGAGTTAGTAGAGAAATCAGGATTCGGATTCTTGAGAAAGATTCCAGCCATTAGTCTAGACAACCCTCTAATCTCAGCCTTAGTCGAGAGGTGGCGAAAGGAAACAAACACCTTCCACTTCACTGTTGGTGAAATGACGGTGACACTTCAGGATGTGGCGTTGTTGCTTGGTCTTGCTATCGACGGGAAGCCGGTTATAGGCATCACACACACAACCTGTGCAGCGGTTTGTGAGAAGCTTCTAGGGAAAGCCCCGGATTCTAATTACGCTAGTGGTGGGATGGTGAAGCTGAGTTGGCTGAAGGAGTACTTCTCTCACTGTACTAAAGATTCACCTAAGGAAGAGGTTGAACAATGCACTCGTGCTTATCTTCTGTACCTGGTAGGGAGCACAATTTTCTCGACCACCACGGGTAATAAAGTTCCAGTTATGTACCTCCCGTTGTTTGATAACTTTGAAGAATGTGGGACGTATGCTTGGGGGGCTGCAGCATTGGCTTTCTTGTACCGGGCGCTTGGTAATGCGTGTGTTAAGTCCCAAAGTACTATTTGTGGATGCCTCACACTTCTACAGGTTTACTATGTTCTTCCTTTACTTTCATACTTGGTGTTACAATTTATCATGCTCATGGGATCAGTGAGTTGAATGAGGCGGAAATAGTCTTCATACTTTTTAACCCCATATTTCAAACAGAATGCTATAATTGACTGGTATTCTCCTTGTAGTGCTGGAGTTACTTTCATCTCGATATTGGGCGTCCAAAGCTCAACCGGGATCCTATCCACGATAGCTTTCCGTTCGTACTGAGGTGGAAAGGAAAGCAAAGTGGACCGACAACAAACCGCGATGTGGTCTTTTATAGGAAGGCATTGGATTCATTGAAACCAACTGATGTATGTTCTCCTTTTTCTATGCTAGCTTCTTTGTATTTTCTCCTTTGTCAAATGGAAAGGAGTAAACTATAATCCTCCCATTAAACTTGTCTTTGTAGGTAAATTGGCTTCCGTACAAGGATATGGACACTACAGGAATACCAGAACCGATCAAAGACACTTTGATTCTAGGGAGATCGAAAACAATGCTCATATGCTTCGACAAGGCTGAGAGACACCTACCTGATCGTTGCCTAAGGCAGTACGGCATGTTTCAACCGGTCCCAGAAGATGTTCCGCGATGGGTGAGAAAGAGTCGGGGAGTCGATGGTGGGGTAGACTTGTCTGGGAAAATGGAGTCTGAGCTCAATGAATGGGCCAGTCGTCATCTCCATATCGTGGAGGGCAGTGATGCCATAATGGACGATGAGACCGTGTATATGGAATGGTACTTGAGAATAACCCGGAAAGTGGTTGGAAGACCTATATCGCTGTCGACTGAGTTCCAGAGAACGGTGATACTCTCAAACCTAATTTACCTCTCTATAGTGGTTGTGCAGACTTTTGTTATAATCCCGATTTAGATGTTGAAATCTGATGATTTACGGATCTAAAGAGACAAATCCTTGTCAGATTTACCATAGGGCATATTGAATCTAATGATATTTTTTTTTTCAAAAAAGTCATCTGAAGTAACAATGTTACTTGTAAAATCTTGCTCATTCTGTTATGATTTACGATTTTAGATAAGAAGCTATACCTTATTTGATCTTACACGTAGTTTTAAATTTAATATTTCCAACTCGTATCATATGTAGGTCACTTATTATTATATCTCGACATGTGTGATAAAATTATTCATTTGATTCTACTTCTTTTGTCATGCTATTTCTTTTATGATATAATGTTATGCTATTGAACATGAGCAATATTACTAGTTATGTAATGATTTAATATGTATAGTTGTTTCGTAGCGCATTAAAATCTTAATGTATCATTATATGATCATACGGTTGTGGTTTTACCATACTTCTCGTTTTTACGTGAAATCTAAAATTTTGACAACCACGGTTATTTTGATGTAGTCAAAAGCGCGATTCTACGTAGAAGCAGAAAGATGGCTAGAAAAGAAAAGCGTAAAAGCGCAGAGTAAAAACGTAAGTTTTTATGCATAATGTAAAGGTGTTAAAAATATTCTAACTATAGCTCGTCCTCTTTCACATGTGAATAATTTATACTTCAAATAATTATCTTTGTCTACATAGAAGCGGAAAGATGACTAGAAAAGGAAAGCGTAAAAGTGCAGCGTAAAAACATACTTTTTTATGCATCATGTAAAGGTGTTAAAAATATTCCAACTATAAGTTGTACTCTTTGAAATGTGAAAATATATACTTCAAATAACTATCTTTGTCTATATTCAAAAGGTCACTATTCGTACATATAAATCATTTAGATAAGCTCCTCAACTATAGTGGATTCTAACTCATAACAAGAAGTTCATAAACGTAGAATACAAGTCAAAGGTATACAATTACACAAATCATCACTCTTAAACAGCTTGAAAATTGAATTTCTTGAAATCAAAGCACACAAACGTTCGAAGTCATGAACAAAACCATATTTGTCCATCAAAGTTAGGTGAAGGAAGAAGGGATCTAGGTGTGGTTGGCAAGCAGCTGCCTCCGCACCATAGAAGCCAGCTTGCGGATGGGGAGAGTTATCGAGGACGGGTCAGTGCAAAGCACTTTGTTGATGATTGCAGGCGTCATGTTAAGGCTTTAGTAAAGGAGCATAGTTTACAGATTTTTATTATTCTTGAACCGCGAGACTTGGGTTGGATAGTAGCTTTAGAGTGGAGGTAAGTAGTACCATTCACTAAGCTAGTCAGCCCCATACAAGCAAGCTAACCAAGCCAAGTTAGCGAGAAAGTGCTTCTTAGAGGAGAATTGAGCCTTGCATTTGGTCTGTTCGTGCTGCCTATAGAACGTAGTTCCTTGGTAGGTCTCTTATCTTATTCATCGCCCTGGCTTTAGGCTTTCTCTACTGCAGTCTATTTGTTCAACAGGTAACCCTCCCTTACTTATTTCCTCTATGCCTTGAAGCCCTTGCCTAGGTTTGCTTAGTAAGTCAGCTTGAGCTGCGCGAAAGATTTTCTAATTAATTATATAAGAAAGGCCTTAGCCTATGGGTTTCTTGCTGGGTTTTAATTCCTTACCTTACTATTATTAAAAGGTAATGGAAGAGGAAGGGGTTGCGACAAGGTGAAGGACTTGGGATTGGAATTTCGTAGTGAATGTGGAAGGGGCCGCCAGAGTTGTTTTGCATTTACTATTTTCGATCTTATCTTAATTAGGCTGAGGCAAACCTAGACACAGTTTTTACTTGTGATATGAGCTGTCTGTCATGTTATGTAAGTTTACAAAAGTGGATCAAAATTGCGGTTTTGACTGATTTTATGTGATTGTACCACTTCTATCAGTGATTCTGTGTGGTTTTGAACACCAATCGATTTTGCATAGAATCTTTGTTGTTCTAGATGTGTAAAAGTGTATGATTTTATACTTTGAATTGTGATTTTGACTTTTGCCTCATTCTGACGCATCTATTGTATGTTTGACAGATTGCTGGGCTGAGAGAGATTGCTTATTTAGCAGATTCGTTTTCGACGAAAGGGTTAGATGGGCAACAGTTTGAGTCCATTTCAAGGATCAGATATATAGCACAGGACTGTTTGAGGGATCAGTCAGGAAATCCAGCTTCTACTGCTGTAGCAGTTGACATCACGCCAGTTGAGCTTGGGAAAAGGATAAGGGGAAAGGAGAGAGTAAGAAGAAAGGGCAGTGGGAAGAGGCGGAGAAAAGATGAACTTGTGGAAGAGTATCAGGAAGGAAGTGAGGATGAACCGTCTCAGTTCTATGGTGGAGTTGTAGAGGTTGATCCATTACATGGTATCCCTACGGTTTCGGCGATGGATGTCGATGCTCATATTCTATCTCATTTTTCTGGCGACGGTGAAAATGCCGAGATTCTTTATGATGGACAGCTCTTTGATGGAACTAGTGACTTTAAGGAGCCTCGGAATACTGATGGATTAACTAATCATGTTATCAATCATAAGCTTGATATTCCAACTGAGAAGTTGAATGACGAGGTTTCTGATTCTCAGCTATTTGATGGAGCAACTGAGAGTGATAATCTAAATAATGAGATCCATGATGCTGTTGATGAGGTTGGCGTCCCAAAGCTGATTAATGCATGTATTGTATCTAGTGATGAGCAGCTTCCTCATGCAACTGCTGGAATGACTAGTGTCTCGAAGCCTCTTGATGTAAGCAATGAAATGGAGCTTGCTGATACAATTACTGTGGTGAATGATGGGGAAAAACTTGCAGCAGAAGAAACTAGTTTGGATACTGAGTCTCAACTTCCTAATGCTGCTGAAGTGGCTGGTGAGTTGCAGCTTACTAGAGATGCAGAAATTTTGCATCCTTCTGATGTAAAAACCGAGATGGATCACTCTCAGGCATCTGATCCAACTAATGGAGGGAAAAAGGTGGAAAACTCCCATATTTATGAATGTCCACATCTTTCTGACAGTAAGGGAGAGAATGGCTCACAGAATAATACAAGTGAAGATGAAAAGGATTCTCAGCGTCCAGATGAGGACAGGAATGAATCGACACTACCACATATTGCTGACGTTATTGATCCTTCAACTACCAACGGTGCGGCAGAGGATGTGCCTACATCATCCCCTGGAACTGTTGCAACATAACTGGGGTTTGATGGTATGGAGCTATCATTCTATGTACAGTCATATGGTAAGAAGCACTTTGACCACTTTATTGTTGTTAATTACGTACCCGTGGTCTCTTCTGTATGTTTGTGTACCAAGTTGGTTACAAATACATTTGCTTCTTTTCTGCAACAGGCTTCTCCGGTACATCTAGTTGATGCTCGAAAGTTCTGGCACGTCAGCATTATAATAAGGGTTCCATTGGGGATGCTGAAGTCTGAGAGATGCTCGCTCGTAGTTTGGGTTGCATTCAGTATTTTTTGTGTTTGTCTTCAGAATAGATCTTTTGCAGATGTTAAGGTTTGTATGAGTCAGCTATTTGCATTTCTAGATTAGGCAGTTAGTTGTTGAATTCTGAATGCACTGGATATCGTTTGCAATCGAGTTCTTTAGCAACATGGTTGCAATCTTGCCATGCTTATTACTATTGTTGTTTGGCAAGAGTAGTTTGCTTCAAGCACGAGGAAAGAATGTTTCTTGACAACGTAGGCAGTTGGAAGAATTGAGTACATGAGATTTGATGGTTGATATTGTTCTCAGACCAGGCCTTTTAGTTTAAACTTCATCTTCCATTTCGCTTTATATGTAGCTTTTTGTTTGATTACATCATTCACAGGTCTCAAAGACTACTTTGCTTACAGTACATTGCTGCTTTTTCGCTTTGATCTTCTACTTCCATTTCACTCCTTCTAAGTCGAGAATCTCCGTGCAAGACATGAAAGATAGAGACTAGATACTCCTGCTGATGATCAGAAGCTCCTAGACCATGGCAGCGAACTCTGACAGTGAGGGCGACTAAGCTTTCGTCCCAACTCTGTAGCTCAACCCGGTTTAAGTAGAGGTCAAACCGTTCACATAGGTTCCCCACGGAGTGGTCCTCTGTAGGGCGGCGGGTAAACAGTTATTTTGTTAGTGGTGTAACTGATAACCGAACTGAAATCGGTGGTTAACTGTTACACCGATAACCTAATAAACAGTAAACGTTCAGTACTCGGTAGCCAAATTTAGCTAGTTAGTAACCGCCGGTTAAACAGTTAGTAATCGACTAACCGATTACGGTCATTATCATAATTAGGGTAAACATATAGGCCTCGATGAGCTGCATGCATAGACAAAAAATAATGAAATGTTTGAAGGCCTACAAGATCCATTGCTACCCTGGTTGTAATAGTGACTTAGACTCAAACGATAATAATTTCAAGGCTTTAGAAGGAGCACAGTAAAAAGTTCAAATGAGAATAATTTCAAGGAGGCTTTAGTAGGAGCACAATAAAAAGTAAGACTTGCACACAGTATTTCGATAGCAATCCGTAACATTTAACCTTTCACGTAATTTAGTGGGGTTAATAAGTTGAGTAATTGTTGTTTGGCATCTTATTATTGTTTGCTTCTTTAATAAAATATAAAGGTAGAATGATGTTATTGTGTACTTCTGTTGGATTTATTTGATCATTCTTATCTATGTTAATTTATATTCTATGATAACAACTTAAAAGAATAACACATATGAATGTAGGAAAAAAATTCTACACATTTGCACAATTGAAAAATTGAGGAGGCTTATGTTGGTTAGGTTACCGATAAGTTATTTTGGTAAAACTGGTAGCATCATATTTGCACATGTTTGCACCCTCGTTTCTTGATCGTTTTTGCTCGAGTTTTTGCTTTCTTGACCTATTTTACGCTAGTTTGTGTTCCTTTGTCACATTTCAGGTCCTAGCATGTAAAGTGAAGCATAATCGCAAGTTTCAAGTCAATCGGAGATCAATTGGCGATTCAGGAGAAGAAACTCGGGCATGGCCTGAAGAAGAATGGATTTCCTCCTCATTTTATGGATAACAAATCATGTAAGCTTGTCATGAAAAGAAAGAGGACGAGACTACAAGCGTCTGTGATCAAACAACAACTGATTCAGAGTCCAAACGAGGGAGAAATGAAGCATCAAAGACAGTATACAGAAGTAGAGGAAGAAACACGGCCGTGTTTTGTCTTCCCGCGACCGTGTTTTTAGTGCCGAGAAAGAGCAAGGTAAGGGCTGAAACATGGCCTGACAAACACGCCCGTGTTTCTGCATGTTGCTCGGGTATAAGTCTGTTTTCTCCAATTTTTGGAGGGAGAGTTGGATTTTGGATCCAAAACACCCAAGGGACGAACCCTAGAGAGAGAGCGATTGCCGATTTGAGATCATTCCTGGAACTATTTTGGAGGATTTGTTCACCATTGGAGCTCGAGAATCAAGCTTGGAGATGGAGATTGAAGATCTAGATAAGATTTCAACATTCTCTCTCTTCTCTGTGGACTAACTTCCCTTCACTTAGGTTTTGAGGACCCCTAGTTCCATGTGTTAGGATCTTTGTTGTATGAACTTTTGTATGCTATACTTACTGATTTTAATTGATTGAGGCATGATTTGTTGAGTCAATTGAAACCTGGTCATATTCTCTTGATTCCTGTTTTAACATATGATAGATAAAATCTTATTAGATTAAGAGAGCTTCCTTGATTGATAGTAGTGAATTGATTGTGCAAGAGTCAGTCAATTTATTGCTTTGTAATGAAATTTGTTCCAAGTAGTGGAGATATGCGTGAATCTCTTTAGTAGTTTATCCCGGTGAAGGCTAGTCGCCTGCCGGATAATTTGTCTAAGAGGGCTTGGTCAGTTTAAGAGATTCTAAGCTATTTTTGGATCTTCCGCAGTCTAATCTACAAGTAAAACGACCAAAAGAAATTACAACTTGGACATAATTGAGGAGCTAGGGAGAATCATACATGAGAGTGTTCCCAACCTGTAATTAGATTAACTTTAACTATAGTTTGCTAGAGTAATTATAGTTCTTCTATCTTAATCTGGTTTGTTAGATAATGAACCGAAGCTGAGTAATAGTAACTCTAGAGACCCGTGGATTCGATATTTATTACTTGTGTCACTATACTGCAGTCCCTTTCATTGGTTACACTTGGCCATTGTTAGGAGTTGTGTTTTAGCGAGTCAGACACCAGAACGTGATATTTTCTTGCTGACCGTGAAGATGGATCAAAACAATAGCAACTGACTGCGTCTTCGGCCGATATCACGGGCAGGCGTTCGATGTCATGGACGTGACATCCAGACCGTAATGTTGGCACTCCAACAGAATAAATAAAAGACACTTGAGAGAGAGAAAATAGAGCTTGGCTAGGTTTGGAATTTTTGGGTTCCCTTTTAGAGTTCCAGCCCAAAAACCCCAAAGGGGGATCCTAGAGAGGAGAGATCTAGGGGGTCCTTGGAGTTTGCTTGGAGGATGTCACCAACCATTGAAGGTTGAAGACAAACCCCTAGAAGATAAAGATGGAAGAGCTTGTGCTTTGTATGGTAATCTCTCTCCTCTCTATGAACTAGAGCTCTTCTCTTAGGTTGATAAACCTTAGGTCCAGATTTCGGGTTTAATGTTGGTCTATGTAACATATCCTACAATTGATTGATGAATTCATTTAGTACATGGATGATTTTCATGGATTGCATGAGTTTGGTTCCCACTTCATGTTTATAGAGCTTTTGACCTAGGAGGGATTCAATCCCCTTAGAGCCCACTATTGGCGTCATCGGGTCACTCCTTTCTTGCATCGTTCTGGGCAACCCCCGAGGAGTCTATTCAATCGATGTCTTGGCGGTATAGGAAACCCTCAGTTGAATGGAGCACCACCATCCCTTGCTACGTCGTTCCCCGTTGACACCCGAGGGAGCCTAGCTCCTATTTCGTAGATGAAATTGGGTCGGTCAAGATAGGTTGTTACTCGACCTTTATTCGAATTATGGAACTAGGGGGATTCAGACCTGAGAAGGCTCCACCACTTGTAATTAACTAGGTTAGTGGTTAGCTAGGTTAGTTAGATTAGTTTTCCTAATCACTATTCTATGTTGGCTAGATAACGAAACCTAAACCCTGAAGTAGGGTACACCTAGACCCCCATGGTACGATAATTTTATTGTTTGCTTACTCTATGCTACACCCAGTCTTCGGTTATGCTTGGCCGTCGATTGGGAATGTTGCAGCTAGAGCGAACCATAGAAACTGATTCAATGAAGAAAGAAAAAAGAAGTGAAGTAAGAAGGATCATATTTTAGGGTCTAGGGGTTAAAGTTGAAAACTACCAACACTAAACGACTCATTACAGAACACGACCTGGTAAATTTATAACAAACAAATCAAAGCATTACTGTAAAGGAATCCAAAGTTGAGGTCCCTTAGCTATATATATATATATATATATATATAAACAACGCCTCCCATAGTTTGGCACTTCCTCAGTAGTTCAACTAGCATGAAGGTTCGAATGAAGGAGTGATAACGATCTAGTACATCTAAAGATGTTCTTGGATATCGTAGGTTCCGCTTCAGGAGATGAAGCAACCAAAAGAGCCATTCGATTGAGAGTATTCCCTTTCTCACTGACGCGAAAGGCAAAAAATTGGCTAGACTATCATCCACCCAATACCTTTACCAATTGGGAGACCCTATCACAAGCATTCATCGACGAGTTCTTTCCACCTTGGCGTACGGAGGAGGTTAAAGAAGATATCAACCAATTCCAAGAGAAGGAAAGAGAGACGACTGAGACGTTCTGTGATGATTGGATGAGATTCCAGGAGTATCTTATGGTGTGCCCCCATCATGGATTCACCCCTGATCAAGTTGTCTAGTAATTCTCCAAATGAGTAGATCGAGATACCACAATGATTGTGAACCAGTTAGTCGATGGAGATTTCAAAAAAAAAAAAATGACGAGAGGCGAATGCCAGGAGCATTTTGCCACACTTGCAATGAGTCAAAGAATTGGTCCAAGAGATCGATGACAAAGTCATTGAAGGCAACCCAATGAAGCGAGGTGGTAACATCATCTTGCACCAGCAGATGAAGGAGCTTTCTCAACAACTGAAGGATGTCAAGATGGCTCCAAAGAAGTGACTATTAGCAATCTTGCTCATATGCCATACATGTGGAAAAGAAGGTAATGACGTTGAAGATTGATGGAACTTTGAAGGAGAAGGACATATTAATGTCAACTATGTGAATCAAGGTTGTCAGAGGCAACCTCAACGAGGATATGCCTCATACCGCAGCTACAATCAACCTCATATCCCATATGGTCAATGGCCAGTCCAAGGAAGAAGGAAGCTCGAAGATTATCCAATAATCACCTCAACAGATTCCCCTTATATTCATGATCTACAATGGAGTAAGAAGCCCAAACTAGCGAGATTTGGGAGCCTGTCGTTGTATAAGGGGCAAGGATTTTCCTCTTCATGTGGATCTTCATAGCTTTCTTGGATTAGATCCTACATATATCGAGAGTTGAAAATAGATTCCATTTGTGTAGTCTAACACTCATATAATTCTCTATCGAAAATGAGAATTTGATTTTAAGGTGGCAAACATGGTGTTTGATGAAGTTGTTGTCATGGCTTTTTTTTAATGTCTTGCAAAGAAAATGAGATTTTTTTAGAAGATAGAAGGGACTTGGCTCTAATACCAAACTTCTAGGTATTAGCAAGATTGAGATAGGATTTATGATCAATTACAAAGGAAATACTTGGTGTTTTCACTCAATTTAGGAAATACACTCAAATAAACAATGTTTTATATTTTTGGCTATTGTGTAATCAAGTAACAAGAAGAGCATACACGTCAGAGCTTCTTTCCATTTCTTGGTTACTACTCTGATGATCCCTTACATACTTCGACGTACATATATATAGATATTGTAAAAGAAAGAAACTAATAATGCAAGTCTATCATCTCTCTATCATGCATGTGCATGTAAATGAAGATGGGAACATCCTCTTAAATTTGTGACCCATGTAATTACTTCATGTTTCTTTCTAACTTGTGTCCATGGTGACTAGGGCTGGGTACGTGGGTGGTTAATCCGCGGATTGATATCGATCCATCCACAAATAACCCGACCCACATGCAGTGGGTGATTGATGTGGGTGGATTGCGGATTGGTAAATCTCTCACCCCCACTTATGTGGGTGGGTGGTGGGTGGATTGCGGGTCACCCATGTGACCCGCATCCTATTTTTACATGAAAAATGTTGTTTCTTATAGTATCGAATATTCATCATATTTTCGAACTGCACTACAGTCTGACCATATACTTCAAAAGGTGGAGAATAAATAATAGTTTTGACTACTATTATTGGTCATTTTGTCGTGCAATATCCATTAGATATTGGATATCGGTATGCAAATTATTGTTAATAACCATTAAATAATGGGATGCAAATTATAATTTATTAATTGTATCAAAATCACAAATTATTGATATGGTCTTCCTCTAATTTGCTATGAAATTATTATAAATGTTAGTCAACTTTCTTAATGGCTAGATGGAGAATTGATTTTGCTGGTTCACCCGCGACCCAACCGCACCCATCCGCCACCCACCCAACCCAACCCGCAGGAGTATGTGGGTGGATTGTGGGTCACAATTATTCCAAACCACTAGTAAGCGGGTGAGTCAATTTAAGACCAAAACCCACCCAACCCGCCCGTTGCCCACCCCTAATTGTGACTACATAATTATTCACACTCATTAATTTGGTTGGCACGCTTTCTTCTCATCTCAACCACTTGCTGCATTATTATTATTATTATTATTATTATTATTATTATTATTATTATTATTGTCCTGGATCGCTTGAGATTATGTTTGTCTCCCTAGCTGAAGAAATTGCCAGAAGCACTTCTTAAGAAAACCACATTACGAGGCTGGAAAGTGTACAGCGGTAGTTCAGGGAGTTACAGGTTCGACAGCAAGCACCAATTAATTACTTGAATGCTTGTAATACAGATAGTTTGTTCCTTGTCGTCTGAAGATAATCTAAATGTCTAATGAAACGATGAGCTAAGTGTACATGCACTTGCTACTTCATTAGTTGCGAGACCCTGAAACTGAAATTAGTATTCTGATCATGTGAAAGATTCTCTAAAACAATAAAACAATCGGTAAGGTTCATCTAAAGCTGAATAAGATCCTTCGCATTACAAACTTCATGAAACTGAACTTAGCATAGCATGTACATATATAATAATGCATAAGTTGAACCTATAATCCACAAGTACGACCTTTTATAGTTGATCATTGCATTCAGTTTCTCGTTTACATTTACTGACATTAGGCTACTGTTAGTTTCGAGCTCAAACTACAGGTATCCAGAATTCCTACCCTCGCGCAGATCCATCTCCCTCATAAACAGTGATCCCGGCAAAGAAAGGGTCCTTGAGAAGGTCAGCAGCAGAAGGCCGTGCCTTGGGCTCGCCTATGCACTTCATGATGAAAGCCTTCACTTCTTGATCCTCTACCTTGTTCAAGGCCTGAGGTTTTACACCAGTGGTCACCTTCTTGTATATCTTGGCAACGCTGTCACATTCGCTGTAGGGTATCTCCATCGTCACCATCTCCAGCAAGCACATCCCGAAAGAGTATATGTCCACCAACTCCGTGTAATCTTCCTCGTACAGCTCCGGTGCCATGTATTCCGGTGTGCCTATGATCGAGTGCGCCACGTGGCTCCTCCCCACTATTGTTGCCAAACCCAGATCGCCTATCTTCACCTGGGGGCATTTTATCAGGCATTTTGGTTAGAGAGTCAGCACAATTCTACCGACGAATCAAACCGGAGAAGCAAGGACTCTGATTTCTACATACCTGGCCGATATTCCCATTGACGAAAATGTTGCTGCAATTCAAATCCCTATGAATGACACAGGGCTCATGAGTATGAAGGTACACCAGCCCTTCAAGCACCTGCTTCGACCACTTCTTCAAAGCCCTCAACGAAACGTGCCGATGCTTCTTCCTGTAATTCCTCAGATTCCCAGAAGTGCAGATCTCCGTTATGAAGTTCAAATTGCTGTGCTCCTCGTCAAGCCAAACGCTGTAGCAAACAATGATGTACTTGTTCTTCAAAGCCCTCAACAGCTTGACCTCCGACTGTAGCCGGTTGATCAGCACGGGATCCTCGATGAAGTTCCTCAACCTGACCTGATTCCATGCCACCTCGATCCCTTCCTCTTGATCAAACGCTCTGTACACTTTCTTCACCGCTCCTGCCCCTAGAAGATCGTCGTACCGCCCGAACCTTCCTGAAGGATCTACCTCCACGAACAGCTCCCCGTCCCTACCGGACGTATTCGGTCCAGCAGCTGGCATCTGAATCAATGGGAAAAACGGAGATATAACTAACACGATTCATAATACGATTTCGTAGTGCCGAACCCTAGTCTGATTTTAGAGTATCGTATTCGCAACAGTCGGATTCTTAGGCGAATTAAATACCTAATCGAAATTGAAGAGACTGGAAAAAAATCACTTTACGCGATCGGAATTTCCGATTTTATTAGGGCCAACTCTAGGGTTGTGAAAAGGGATGTCATTGACCTAACACCAGCAAGACAGCAGCTTGTTTTGATACTAATCGAACTAACTACCATTAGCTAGTTCGATGCGGCTTTGTTAATGGCAGCAGAGGATCGTGATTGGAGCAGAATTGTACAGGAAATCAAGGAGAGGAACAGAGTTACAGAACTTGAAACGAGAAGGTAAATGATTGATTACCTTGGAGAGCCGCGAGATATCCCGGCGGAGAACTGCGACGATGACGATGACGGCGTCGGCAGCGAGAGATTCCTTGTTCGGCAAGGGGAATGAGACGATACGGCTGCGGAAATGCTTTTCAGCAACGACTGGAAGGGGTGGGTATTTATAATCTAGGCGGGGCAAGGTGTGAAGAGTTTAGGCGGGGAAGGGAATCTGGTGGAGGGGTTTAGGTTTAAACGACGCCGTGTTCGAAGGAAGGAGAACGTAATGACTTGGCAATTGGCAAAGTCTTCGAGCACGTGGCATGTTCTTGCCGCTTCCACCGCGGATGATTAGGCTGACTCAACAAATATTGAAAATTCTTTATGGATGGGATATAATACAAAATCCTCATAAGTAATACAAAATCATGGTTGAAATTGAACAATTCCTTCTAGGTACACCCGATACAATTGGAACTATACATGAGAGCATCTCCAACAATGCAATCCTTCTTCATTTTCAAGTGTGGTCCTTACTGCCACCTAAGCAACTTTAGCAATTACTTCACTCATCAATTTCATACTAGCTACATCAATGCCATTCCAATGCAATTGCACTTCTGGATCCCACTTACATTTTAATACCACACAAATGGTTGGGAAAAAAAGAAAGAAAAACAAAAACAAACAAAGGACCCACTTGCAATTGCATGTCAGATTTTCATGGTGTGCAAATTTTCATTCCTTGAAAGTGGTCTTGCATCAATGCCATCCACTTTTTCAATTGCACATGGCTGCCACCTCAGCTTGCAATTCCCTCCATTTGCACCATTGGAGATGCTCTGAAAGATTAGCCTGGTTGAAATTGAAGAATATGTAATGTAGCGCTCATCTTTCAAAGGAAAGTAAGAGTTTGGGGATTTGTGATCTAGTACGGATCTTTGATTTTTTGGATGGGCATGTGAGTGATTAATTCCTGCGTTGATATTCATCAACCTTCAAATAATTCGAACATTATCACATCGTTGATTGCGGATTGATAAATCTCATACCTGCACTTATTTCGGTGGTGGGTGGATTGATAAATCTCATACCTGCAATTTAAACTATGAATTGTATCAAAGTTGCAAAATCCATAGTTTTCATTACGCAATTGGTTGTGACGGAGTAATAAAAAATTTGATGAAAATACAACACTGACCACAGGAGACAAAGTGGGAAGCGTTTAAATTGACAGTCTTACTAATTTCTTAGAAACTTATTGTACATGATGGTCACCTTTCTTATTATAAATAACGGTTAGTTGGAGCATTGTTATTGTGGGTTAACCCACAACCTAACCGCACCTATCTGCCAACCCGAAAAAAATTGCGGTAGTATAGCAAGTTACAATTATATCAACTCGCTAATATGCAGGTAAGTCAATTTAACACCAAAATCCATCCAACCTGTACATTACCCACCCTAGTAATTATGCGACGTAACCATCTACGCAGCTTGGACGCTTAACTTGAGACTTAAAGAAACGTCAAACAAATGACTATCTTGCAAACTTCATTCTACGTTTCAACTTCTTGAAATCATTCATCTCAAATTATTTTTTGTAATCAATAGATAGTATTATTGCACAGACCCACTTGTTTGTGAAATTAGTGGATACCAAGCCACATTCACACGCCAACAAGGAAAAGGGAAGTGAGTGGCTGGCTGCAGCCTGCAAGTGCTGTAAACTTCACGCGGCAGGCTGGCTGGCTGGTGGGGAAGGCGATGATGCATGCACAGGCAGGCATCGGCATCGGCATCAGCATCAGCGCTTTCAGTTGAAGGAAATGTGATGCTTGTGACTTCATCAAAGCTATTTTGATGTTGCTCACTCGCCCGACGAACCTCTCCAGCCCAAAATCAAACGAGATACAGACGATATCTTGAGCTTCAAGGCACTACAAATCCTGTCCAGGATCTCTGCAATCTCTCAAGTCGGAAGATGACCAGACAGACAGTGACAAATGAGCACATACGATCTCCGTGATGAGTACTACTACTGCAACAGGAAAGGTAACGATGGCGACTGTCACACTGCACTGGGCGGTTGGGTGCGACGGTTCTCTTAGGTTCATACCACCAGTACCATTCCAAATCGAATCGAATCTAACCTACTATCCTTACTCATTACTCCGTTCTTTTCAATTTGGGTATCATGTACATACCAACCTCTCTATCGTGCACGACTGAGAAACGCCACTCAAAAACACCATTTCAGTTTTCATCCACATAAACAAAAAGGTAGATTTGGGGGTGAAACAGACCAGTCTTGCAGACTTTTCGATCATTCTGGTAGGATGCCACACGGGATGAACACATTTCCAGCAGAGCTGCTGAGAGAAAGTAGAAAGGAAAACAGCCAGCGGAAAAGTGGAAGAAAAATAGTCTCTCGTACTGCCAAAGTCAAACGAACACCTCTATCTCATCATCACATGTTACCCGTTAGCTTTCAATGCAGACTTCCGATTGATAGAGAGATTCGCTCGCAATCAGGTTCCACCATGTTACCATAACCTGCCAACTTCAGCATAGCATTTATGATAACATATGCCTTCAACTTCAAGAAAGGCTTTCCATTATGCAAACATTTCCAATACACAGCATCGACCATTCATTAACAATCACGAATTAATACAGTGAGAAGCGAAGGAAAGCAAAAGCACAATTCAGAGGTAACACCAAACGTAAAAAAAACTAAACGCAGACGAGTAGTCCAACACTTTTACCATGGAGGATTGGAACCCTCTCTCACAGAAGGCGACCTGGAAATATTGCTAGTGCCATCTCTTCCAAGCCTTGACACGCTCCTCCCGCTCTTGGGGGTCCCCAGCAAAGGACTCCCACCTCGATAACTAGCTCGAAGAGACTCATCCACAACTGACCCCGAATTCTTTGAAATCGCATTCCTCACAAACTTCTGGGCTGCAGGTGACAGCGTCCGAACATTAGGGCTAGCACTTCCCCCTCTGCTAGGGGAAGGCAACGGCGGTTTCTGCCACATCTTTGATCTCTCCCGCAATTTTCGTGCAGCATCCCTAGACAAAGAGTGAGCTTTGACATCCCTAGGAGGCGGATTCGGGATCCTGAAGTGTGGTCCATCCCCATTTCCACCAATATCAATTGGAGTGTCTTCATCCTCTAATCTCATCGGTGTCCCTTCAATCTCACCCCACGTGATGAATGGTGATTCGTCGACACCTGGAGCAGGCGATGGCGTCTTCACGAAGCTGTACCCATTCGCAGACTTCTTCAAGTCGTCAAGATCATACTTCTTCATCTTATCTCGTTCTCTATCAGACATGGGCATTGGTGTCCCACCTACAACTGGAGTGTAGAGAACTTCCAAGGTGCCATCATCATTCGGCCTAGTATCCATCATTTTACCATGGAATCTAGTGCTCCCCTTGTTGATCTCTTTGGTTAGTCCCTGCAATCGAATGGCCTGCTCTTCCTCGGTCAATGGAGCTTCACCTCTGTCAGCAGGGTGATACATGAGCAGATTCTTTGCAGTGTATTTCCAGCTTTCTAATGTACTCGGAGGCTGATCGGAAGTTCCATAACCATCAGTAATCCTATCCCGCTTTGCATCTTCTATGGACTTACCATCTTCTTCCTTCTCACCTTCCAACAAATGAGCATACTTCTCCTTCCTCTTCTTGTTGACTTTGGTTAATATCTTAGCAAAACTATCGTTATCCTCGCTAGTATACCTCCTGAGGAACTCATCTAACCCTAGAGATTCATCTACATCCGCTGGTTCATTCTCTCCAGCCTCGCCCGATAAATTAGCATTGAGAACGCTAGGAGTTGTGACATCGAATTCATCTAGAGGGGTGAAATTACGCATGAAAGTAGAACCTGGTGTCCTGGTGCGGCTTGGTCCTCGCAGAGTGGAATCGGACCCTGGATTCCCGGCCTTCTTCCCGCGGCGCTCGATGATCTTCAGCTGAGCGTCTCGTATCTGCATCGGATCTCCCGTCTTCACCGCCTCCAGCCAATCAAGACGGTCCCGGAGCTTGGAGATGTCGGGGAAGTAATCCCGCTCGATGATCTTCTCCATTGCGGCCACGTATGTGTCCTCATCGAGAACCCTCGGCCGCTTCCTGGAAGAGGAAGCGCCGCCTGATTTGGATGAGACCTGGAGAGCGTCCTCCGAGATCAGAGACGGCGACGGCGACGAGATGTGCCTCGGGGAGTGGCCCGGAGAGAGAAGCATGGTGATTTACAGCTAGGGGTTGATCGGGGACGGGGGCTAGGGTTTCTACAGACGGCGGAGGAAGTTGCGATGTGGATTCCGGAGAGAGACGGACGACAATTTTGGCAGCGCAGGGACAGGCAATTCCACGTATATTATGATTTTCTCGAGATTTGCAGAATGGTCCCTTCGTTTCGTGTGTGTATGAACTAAATTATAGATCAGGTCCACAATCAAGGCTATCCATTTGCCATTTGGATATGGAAACCGGACGGCCCAAATTCGATAAGGCCCAACAAGTTATTAAATGAACTTGACGGCCCATAAACTTTTCCGCTTTCCAATCAAACGGAACAAAAGTTCAATGATCAGTTCACGAACAAACAGTGAGTTAAGGGACTAAACATACAATTTTGCACTCAAATAGATTCCTCGATCCCCCATAAAGCCAATCATTTCTTGGAAAATATCGCACAAATGATTTTCAGCGCTGGGGCGCATAGATTCTTCCATACACCTTTACCGCACACTAACATTTCCCCTCTGGCAGCTCCTCCTCCTTCTTCCTTCTTATTCTCTCTGTGATTAATGGATTAGAGGAATTTCTTACAGCATTAAATAAACAAAACCCACCAACATAAATTCTCGAAATTCCCACGCTGCAGTGCTTGTCTGCCGTCCTGCAAATCAACCCATCACAACAACAAAAAACCGCTTAATCCACGAAACTTCTCGAAACTTCCCCTTCACTGGTGTCTCTTTGATCCTCTCTGCTCTCAGCTTTGGGAGCTAGCAGCTCTCACCGGAGAGGGTGATCATCGTCGCCGACGAGGTAATTGTCTTGTGTACGACGCTTATTTCTGTTACTCCTCGTATGTGCTTTCCTTTTTTTGTGTTGGTTGTTTGATTGGTGACTATTTCTCGATTCCGGGTTTCGTTGTTTGGTTGGTGGGGAAATGGTAATTGGGCAAGTGTGGCTGTGGTCTTAGCTGAGGGGAAATGAAGGAAAGATGGGATCTTTTTTAATTGTGGTTGATTTGTCTTTCTTGGTCTGGTTTTAAGCTCCAGCTGGACACTTTGAGCCATTGTCATTGCATAATTCCTGCTATTTTTGGTACGGATGTTATGGGCTTTGTCCCCCAACTCTGCTGTTAAGTTAAACCATATGAAAAGCTTTGTTGGGTTGGGGTTTGCTTGTAAAGATTGCCTCTGAATTGTGACTTTACGCGAACTGAAAGCTGTGGTTTTGGTATGGTTTGGGGGTGGGTTTTAGGCTATGGTATTGGGAAATGTGGGACTGTTGTTGAACAAGTGGCCTTAGAACTTTCCCCAAAACCTAGTTGTGATGAGATGAAATCTTCAGTTTCTTGTGCTTGCTTGAATCTTCATTGTATCACTTGGTGCAGAGTGTGTCCTAGCTCTACTAGGATGACAGTGAATTTTGCTCTCTCCTACCATGCTGAACTCATGACTCCTCATGTTTCTCTTTCGCCTTCATTGATTTCAATAGCATGTAAGTCAAACTCATGAAGCCTAGCTGTAATGGAATGGCGAGACTGCTTCACTATGACATGAAGGTATTTGGATCAGAGCAATTCTCGTGCTCTCTAACGAGTGAGCAATTCTTTCCCAGTTGATTCCTTCGATGTCTGCCCATCTTTGTTCATGAATCGGCAAACCTTTAGGATGTTTTGATGAGTCTGAATCATGTGCATCTCAGCTAATTCCAACTATCATTGCTCTTGAAACAGTGTTACAGATATGAACAACTGAAGTACGATTAGCACCTCGACTAGATCTCCTGTGTCTTTAGCAATCACCCTCAGTTTCTCATGGCTTCTTCAGTGGAAGGTCCAGAGGAAGTTCCCTCGAATGAGAAGGAGCAACAAAAGACTGCTGATAATGTCAGACCTGAAAAGGGTGAAGAGACCGATGATATCAAAACTCATACATTACAGAGTCAAGAAAAAACAATGTCAATTGTTGTCCATGAACAAATTCCAAAGGAGCCTGATGATGGAGCAAGTGTCTCTTCCGTTGAGCGTGTGAAAGTCTTTCATGCCACTCCACATCCTTTACAATCCATTAAGGATGGAAGAAGTCCTGCCATACGTGAGAAAGTGTTGGAGGATGGATACAACTGGAGAAAGTACGGGCAGAAACTTGTTAAAGGAAATGAATTCATTCGAAGCTACTACAAATGTACTCATCCCAGCTGTCAAGTGAAGAAGCAGTTGGAACGTTCACATGAGGGTCAGCTCGCAGATATCGTTTACTTTGGCCAGCACGATCATCCTAAGCCTCAAGCCAATCTCACACCAGCTGTAGGTTTTGTTTCATCGATCGAAGAAAGATCCGATGGCCCTTTGTCACCTGCTGTGAAAGGTAAAGATGATCTATACATATTAACATTATAAATTATTTCTGATGTCATGATATGATATTTCATACTATGATGTCATGATGTAGTAGGGAAAGGGCGCCCCCCAATCAATCCCACAAATGCCTCCCAGATGTCCACACTGACATCTACTGAGGATGTGAGAACCGTGCCATCCGAAGTGACTAGGAAAAGAGATGAAATTGATCAGGAAGATGATCACCAGTCTAAACGGCAGTATGTTAGCTGCATAACTATCTACGATACATAGTTTTACTTTGCTATTGTTGTTTCTATAGTAACATTTTTGTTTGATGTTTCTGTTTACAAACCAACCAGGAAGAAAGCGAACCGTGGGATTGTTGATCCTCCTGTTGTAGACAAGCCAGCTGGTGAACCACGAGTGGTTGTCCAGACTCTGAGCGAGGAGGATATCGTGAATGATGGATATCGTTGGCGCAAATATGGCCAAAAGATGGTCAAAGGAAATCCTAACCCGAGGTAATATCTAAATTCAAGGGTTGCTATGAGATTCTACTTTAGTCTACTTAGCCTATCTAATTTAGTTTCTAGAAATGGGATAGAGTGACTCTTTTGTTTCTGATTTCTTAAAGTCTACTTAGTATTTTGTCAAAATCTTTAGTTAAGTTTTGTTAGTATCACTTTAAGATCTTGAGTTGAATGACCATTTTGTTACAGATCCCATAGTGCATTTAACCTTGAACCTTTTTAGCTCGTGCTGATGATGTTGTAAGCTTGTCAAGGCAAACTGCGCATAAGAAAGATTTCATCGACCTTTCCATGTACCTAAATACAGACATGGCGGACTGAAATTTGTTACTGCTCTTGACAACATATGCAGGAGCTACTATAGGTGCTCGAGTCCCGGCTGTCCAGTCAAGAAACATGTCGAGAGGGCATCCCATGATCCCAAGGTGGTTATAACCAGTTACGAAGGAGAACATGATCATGACATGCCACCGTCAAGGACTGTTACTCACAACATACCTGGTCTGGACGCTTGTACCTCAAACGTTCCTACCGAACAAATCGACTGCAGCACACCAGCTTGTAACACTCCTGATGCCAATGCTAAACCCAAGGAACAACTTAATGGTGCGTCGAGAACTAAAGCCAAAGGGGACAAGGGCAAAGAAGGTCTTGTTGACAAGGGGAGTGACAAGGTTTGTTCAAGTCCCATTCACCTGGACGAATTGAAATCGAAAGACCAGCAGAATGAGAAGTCAAGCGCCTTGGAGGAAAGTGATGCTGCTGACCATGATTCCGATGCCACTACTAGTTTTATTCTTGAAGGCAGAACAAATGACCAACCCACTGGTGAGTCAAAAGAAGCATCAGAAGAGAATGGTTGCGATTCCAAAGTTCATTCTGCTGCCACTACTCATCCAGACTGCAAACCAACTCAGCAACACATCCCGGATTCGGAGCCTGTTCAACTTAACTGAAAGTAGATTCTTTATCTTGAACTTGTGGGTGAAAAATGAATTGTTTGCAGGCACTATTTTTCAGCTGTGTATTAGATTGAGCAATAATTGCAGGATGTAGAGCCATTGTTGGGTTGGTTGTCTAATACATATGGGAAGAAGACAAAGCTACAGTAATTATGTAACATTTTCCTTCGTTCCTCTACTCTAATTCCAGCTTTTCCTTTTAAACTCTTTGCTTCAGTTTTACAAAGCTAACAATGCCAAACAGAACCCAGCTTGGCAACTTATAAAGCTTGTAGAGCCGAAAAATGGCTGCCTTCCATTCATAGAAGAAAAAGTACAGCAAAAGGCTACAACAAACAACTCCAAGCGAGAAAGTTCTACCTAGTGCCCCTTCCTTTTCTTCACTTCCATGCACAAGAAGCAACCAAATCACGGTTCATCCACCCGAGATACAACGCACCATCCCTCACTTGAAGCCTGTACTGCTTGCAGTAATTCTCCAGCAGTGTCTTAATGGTAGCGTTCACCAAAGAGCTCAAAGGACACTGTGTAAACCCCGCCATGACAAACCTTGACCTCCATTTCCCCAGAAGCTCAAGTCTCTCCACTCGCTCTCTTCCCTCACAAGCGATCACATTCACAACATCTTTAGCAAGGCAATGCTGCTCAATATTTATCCTCTCCTTGTGATCCCTCTGGAGGGTCACGTCGATCGACTCAAACATGGCCGTGTAGTAGTCGAGTGTCTCTAGAAACCGAGGAAAGAACGGTGCAGTATTTGTATTAGCCTCCTGCTCGACAAGTGTCACGACCTTAGGTGACAACCCTTTAACCATCCTCAGTAACCGATCTCGATGGTTCTCTGTATCGACACTCTCATCAGGCATGTGATGAAGCATGAACGCAAAATTGACAGCTAGAGCTTCTTCCCCAGCTCGAATACCGAGATCACCCACTTGAACTTCACAGCCACTGATAGCAGCAGCATGGAACTCAAACGGCACTTTGAACGACTCAGCCAGCTTTGACAGCCTCTTCCCTACTATATTCAACCCTCCACCTCGTGCATAAGCGGAAGTTGAGTCATCTATGGCTGTGATACGAATGTGTGGTGGCCCACCGGGTCTCGCTGCAAATGCTTGAATCAAACTCACCCACTGACTCCCTTGACCAATCTGAAAGTCAACAATGTGAACCCGGTTCTCATCCTTCATAGCTTCTGCAATAGCCCCATTCGCTGACATGTATCCAAATTTGAGGTAAGGGCAGACTTCATAGAGAATGTGCATGTAAGAGAGCAAGTCAGCACTAGCTGGTTCCTTGCACCTCAAGGCATTGCAGATTGAACTCCCAGAAGAGGAAAGCCGAGCAACGAGGCCTTCCAACATGTATGCGCCTAGCCTTTGTATAGGCTCACCAGAAACTGACACCATGTGGCGTAATTCATCGATCAGCCATTGTGCTATTAAGTGGTCATTCTCGGACACTGCCTTGGCACAGGCAACTAGGACTTGCTTTAGATCAGCTCGTGATATCGCCTCCATGATTTTTCTCAAGCAGTCCATCTCTGGTGACTCGCCTTCTATATTCATTAAGTTATCAGAATCTGGCCCCAACATTGCAGTCTCTAACTCCCTCAGCTTGTGTCTTATATCATTGGCATCATCAGTAACACACGAACTGCTTAATGGAGAGCCATATGTATCAGGTGGGTGTGACTGAGAATCCTGCTGCGAGATTGGGCTCCCACTAGGCGAAAAGTTGTAGGTACTGAAAATGGCATTTGGGGAAGATGACTCCAAAGTGCAGTATTGTTCAGAAGAGATCTCAAAGGGGAAGTGAGAAGTTTCCTGCACGCTTCCATTGTAGCATAGTTGGTGAGGTAATTGGAACTGAGGCAAGCAGTAGGGCTCGAATTCTTGACTCGGTTGGTAGTATAAGCCGGCGGATGACATTGCTGGTGACTGGAACCTCTCTGATGCCTGCATTTTAACTCTTCAGCAGTATGTGCTTCTGATCAAGCTTCAAAACTGTATGTTAATGATAGAGATGAACCACCTACGCAGCAGCAAAAAGACTAGCTCCAGGATCTTCTACCAAAATTCGAAACTGGATCTGCCAAAACGAGCAGATGAATGGTCAGGATTGGAGTTTGTTTTTTGTTTGTTTTTGGGGTTTCTTTCCCCAAGAACCCTTCTCCAAACAGACAAAAAGAAAGGCATCTTCCACAAAGAAAAGTAAACTAGAGAAGGAAAAGGATGGTAGTAGAACTAAACTTGAGAAAAAGGGAGACATGAGCGTTAAACAAATGGTAAGTGAAGTTTATCAGCTAAATTTGTGAAAGAAATTTGTTGTCTTCTTCCATCCTCATAAACTTCAGATTCATAAAGATATATGGTTGAGAAATGAAACAACAGACTGATCTTACAACAAAAATGAAAGAATTCCCATGGAAACCAGTTCTCCTTCATGCATGGTTAGCTCTCTTCCAGGCATAGAAGGAATACATCGTGTAAGAGACAAGAGAAAAGATCTCCCCAGATATTGAAGAGGTAAACTTTTACGCCCCAAAAAAAAAAAAAAAAATACAATCTTAAAATTATGAGTTCACCGAAACCGCCATTGGTAGTTCCACCAAGCTCTCCCAAAAATGGAAACAAAAGGACCGGCGACTACAGAATAAATAAAAAAGCATGAGAACCAGGATAAGAACAACAAAAGCTTCCATCTTTCAATCATAAACTTGAACTACTTGCTAAAGTTAAATGTTCTAGTTTCATCCCAAAACAAAAAGTTAAATGTTCAAGAAAATCGCAATCCATCAAGAAGTCCACAAATTCAAAAGAAAGCAAAGAACTTTTGTGGGTTCTCGAATTGGGTTTCATCATTCATGTGTGTAAAAACAGAGAGGGTAAGAAATTGTGGGCAATCCTACCTTTGATTGTTCAGGAATCTCAAAACCTTTGAGGGGAAGAAAGAGTGAGAGAAGCAATTTTTTGGGGTGGCGGTGTGTGCAGAGGAGAAATGGAGGACTATAGAGCTGTCTTTGTCCTTCAAGAGTAAGATAGACTCTCTCTCTCTCTCTCTCTCTTGGAGGCAGAGAGACAGACAGCTTTTATCGCAGCAGGGAGACAAGAGCATTTCAATTAAACTTATAATTTCTTTAATGACCTATGCATTTGTTTATTATTTCCAATTGAACGATCCATTTTACAGTTTAATGGGAAAAGGGAAAATATAGAGAAATGCTATTGAATTGAATGAAGGGAAGAAAATATCTAACAAAAACAATTCCGAATGACCAAATAACCATTTTCTCGTTTGATAATTTTTTAATGGTTACATTTCTTTTTTGTTTGTTTGATCAAATTTACATCGATACTTGTAACATCTCGAACTTTTTTTGACGAAAATATTGTCCGCTTTGAACCTTGATCCTCGCTTTTTTTTGTTTTAAGTGCAATTCAAGGTGGCTTCCCATGAGGTCGCTCATCCTTGTTGTACTCCACACTAAGCACGTTTAATTTCGGAGTTCTCACAAGAATTCCTTCATTTCCCCCCAAACCGCGTCTTGTCATTTAAGGTCGGTTTCTTACTTATGAACCATGGATCTCTCCCATGCTTTGTCGATGTGGGATTTGCCTAAGGTGTTACATACCACCCCCCCCCCCTCCCCCCCGGCGGGACTCAATGCCCTCGTTTAGGTTTGCCTCATCATCATTCAAGAGGGATGCGGAGAGGCTCTGATACCACTTGTAACATCCCGAACCTTTTCCCGACGAAGATATTGTCCAGTTTGGGCCTCGGCCTCACGGTTTTTGACTTGGAGTGCAATTCAAGGTGACTTCCCATAAGGTCACTCATGCTTGTTGTACTTCACACTGAGCACGTTTAACTTCGGAGTTCTCACAAGAATTCCTCCGTTTCCCCCCAAAACGCGTCTTGTCATTTAAGGCTGGTTTCTTACTTATAAACCACGGATCTCTTCCGTGCTTTGTCGATGTGGGATTTGCCTAAGGTGTTACGATACTCATCCAACAAACTCATAAAAAGACTTATCAAACAAATCCATAAGGTACATGGATATAAGAAAGTCTACAAGGATAGAAAGGGGAGAGTGAAAAAGGTTCCATAGAAAATATTACGATATTTTTTCATTGTAACGAGACTCCAAAGATTATTCATGTCGAGAAAAATTGTCCAAGATATGGCATGGCATGACGTACACGTGCCAAAGATGGGCTATTAAGGCACCCTACTGACTATGAAGCTTGGAGAGCATTGGATAAATTCAATGCATGAAGAGTCCATATTTGTTCTTGACTTTACTCATTCCTAGTCCAAAACACTGGGTATTAATATTGATGTTTATCTGAGATTCCTCATAGATGATACGAAGGCATTATGGAATGATGGCATTGTGACTTATGACGCATTCAAGAAAGTGAACTTCAACATAAAAGCTACAGTGTTGTGGACTATCAACGATTTTTTAGCTTATTGTCTCCTTTCTGGTTGGAGTACCAAAGATAAACTGGCATGTCCTTCTTGTGCAGATAAAACATCACATTTTATGTTGAAGAACAAACACAAAAAATGTTATATGGATCATCGCCATTTTTTCCATTGGACATAAATGGCACAATAAGAGGAAGGACTTTAATGGCAAGTTGAAGAAGGATATCCCGCTATGATGAGACATGATTAAATCTGACTCACTATTTCTCGCCATGTTTCATAGAAGATTACACTTCAGTGTCAATAGACCATGCATGCCTTATAAATTGAGATACTTGTTCTTATATATCCCTTAGTACTTAAATAAAATTATTAAGTAATAGATAGTTTGGTTTACAATAAACTTTTTTTTATCCATATCTAGTTACACCCATTTCTCTAATAAAACTCTTTGTTTGGCACAGTAACGGATGCAAAAGAACTTAGAGGTCGTTTGTAAGTTGTGATTGTTAGAGTTGTATTTGTTGAATATATGTATTGTGCACAATACAATGTTTGGAAGTGTCAAAGTGTAAAACAATGCATGCATTGCTTTAGGTAGGTCCCACCAACAATCACAAAAAATGATGCATTATACAATCTCAACTAAAAGTGAACTTCAACATAAAAGCTACAGTGTTGTGGACTATCAACGATTTTTTAGCTTATTGTCTCCTTTCTGGTTGGAGTACCAAAGATAAACTGGCATGTCCTTCTTGTGCAGATAAAACATCACATTTTATGTTGAAGAACAGACACAAAAAATGTTATATGGATCATCGCCATTTTTCCATTGGACATAAATGGCACAATAAGAGGAAGGACTTTAATGGCAAGTTGGAGAAGGATATCCCGCTATGATGAGACATGATTAAATCTGACTCACTATTCTCGCCATGTTTCATAGAAGATTACACTTCAGTGTCAATAGACCATGCATGCCTTATAAATTGAGATACTTGTTCTTATATATCCCTTAGTACTTAAATAAAATTATTAACTAATAAATAGTTTGGTTTACAATAAACTTTTTTTTATCCATATCTAGTTACACCCATTTCTCTAATAAAACTCTTTGTTTGGCACAGTAACGAATGCAAAAGAACTTAGGGGGCGTTTGTAAGTTGTGATTGTTAGAGTTGTATTTGTTGAATATATGTATTGTGCACAATACAATGTTTGGAAGTGTCAAAGTGTAAAACAATGCATGCATTGCTTTAGGTAGGTCCCACCAACAATCACAAAAAATGATGCATTATACAATCTCAACTAAAAGTTGAGATTGTTGTGATTGTTGGTTTTAGATTTGTGTCAATTTTTTCTTTCTATTTATATCCCTAATAATTTTTGTCTTATTATAAAAGTTGAGGGTAAATGTGACATTTCTCCATAAAAGTAACTTTATGTAAATCAATGCATAAAATAGAATCTCAACAACCAAACAATGTATTGTTAAAATGCATCCATTGTATCAATGCATGCATTATATTATGGTGATTCATTATAATGCAACGATTTAACGAGGGCCTTAAATTCTAGGTTCAGATGCTAAAGGTTTATTAACAACTATATTTCTTAAATTTATTACAAAATTTTCATGAAATTTTATATGATTTTGCAAGTTGAGTGGAGATATAATCTCCATTTTCATAAAAGTGACTCTATCACTGGTTTGTAGGGGTGTTCAAATGGAGTAGTATTTGGATAATTTAGTTTGGTTAATTTGAATAATCTGTATGGTTTGGTTAAATTTTTTAGCTTGTTTGGTTTGGTTTCAGACACCCCTAACTAATGAAACCAAATTAACCAGTTAAATAATTAGCTGTATATCTAATATATATTATATACACATAAGACTTTGCATAAAAACTCAACAACCAAATGTTCCTCTTTTTAGACTCATGAAAAATAAAGCTCAATATTGTTCCTATGTTGTATATTTGTATTTTTTGAATGTAGACCGCAACATATATACGCCTAATTTATATAAAACTTATACATTATATTTGATGAAAACTTCAAAATAAGGTCTTTTTCAATATATGATAATTGCTAAGAGACTATGTCAATTTATACAAACACAATAGTACATTAACCCCATACCATTGGCATATATTTTTGTTAGGTGAATACTTCTATTGAATGTAAAGTAATTATATTAGTTATATTTATTTATGTTAAGAATTAACTACAATTATGTGTTAATTATTATGTTTTACTCATTATATAAATTTTGAATTAATGCATTAACCGAAACAAATTCTCACTTAATGAGAATTTGATGTCATATTGGTTAATCTGGTTACCAATTAACCAAATTAATTAAACTTTAGTTTGGTTAATATGATTATTGTATTAGTTTGGACGATCTTGTTATAATATTGTATTCTATAGTTAATAGAATTTAGGTTTATTTAGTTTGGTAATTAATATGATAACCTTTGAACACCCCTAGTGGTTTGAGATTCAGTTGGACAGAAATTAAGTGGGAGGCATAAATTTGACATGAGTTTACACCAATGTTGTCAGAACCGAACCGGAGCATGACCCGGTAATGCGAACGGGTCGCACTTTAGCGGTCCAACCAGCATTAGACCGTTTAAAAACCGTTAGAGAACCTATATCTAATAAATGTTATCAGTATAGATAGTGGACATTTCTTAATCAGAGCTCATCTCTTTCCTTCGAAATTGTGAAATGGGAATAAGGATTCAATTTGAGAGCCCAACGTTTTTGGTTTATTTCAATTTTCAATTTTCTACAATTTTTTAATTAAATTTAGTGGCTGAATGGTAAAAACCGGACGAGCGGCTGGAACGGCTCGAATGGTTAACCGCCTCGACCGCTCGCCAACCGGTACATAAAACCGGAGCAACTTTTAGACTGTTCCGAGCCGGTTTTGTGACCAGGTGGCGGTTTTACCAGCTCGGCTCGACTTTAATAACACTGGTTTACACTCTAAAGATTACTGAAACCATTTTAGGGATTTCCTACAATTTGTATAATTTAATAATTTTATAAATAGCTATGAATTTAAAAAACGGAATCTAAGGTGTGATTAATTTTTTATCTAACAATACTAGAATTATTCTTTTTTATATTAAACATTAGTTTTTGCCTAGAAAGGAAAAGAAACTACCATAAAATGTTGCAACTTGTGAATTGTGATGGTCACCGAGCAACCAATTCCTTTCTAATAAAAAAAACTTTGTTCCATTATTTCAATTTTGCCAGTCGCCAAAATGTTTTTGGTAGTGGAAATAAAAAACAATAGTCAATTTCTTTGATGTAGTCATCGAAGACCCATCAACATCAATCTTCTTCGTAGTGGGGTGACTTGCCTAATGGCTAATGACTATTGACAAGCCTGACCTTCAATTTGTTTTTGGCGAGAACGAAGTTTAAAGGGTAAATTCCACATTTGGTTAATGAGTTTACTAAAAAATATTATGTTTAACTATTAAAATTATTTAATTTTAATGTTGGTCACTCGAATTAGTATAACGGTCCATGTTTGGTCACTTTTTGTTAATCTCTATCGGTTTTAACACTATCAGTAATTTGCTGGCGTGGCTAACAGAAGTGCTGACGTGCCCTATTTTAACCTGCCATATCACCAAACCCAACTGCCACATCACCAAACCTGCCACATCATCAAATTCAACCCAACTCGAAAAAAAAAAAATAATTTGGACAAGGAATGTG